TACCAAGAGCCCACCTTAGAAACGTGTCTCTATTGTTACGGTTTCAGTGATAGTAGATGAAAGACCAGCCTTACAAGAATGACACTGCAAGACAAATACGACCTTAACTACTTTTAAGAAAATCATTAAACAATACATCATCAAAATGAGCATCGAAATTAAAAATAATTTTAGCAACGTTATTAGATTTTGTGCAGATGATCAGTGAATTCTCACTGCTTACTTTCCCAGACGACCAGGTGGAAAACTCATCAGAATCTAAGCAATTTTGCAGACTTAAAAAAAAAGCGCTACCTTTAAGGGAAATTGAATTACTGGAGGAGAGACGGTTGCTCATTTGAATCTCTGCCATCCTGGCGCGTCACCGCCGCCTGAAAAAGACTCTCAGATCCTGTAAGTTTAATTTTTAGATTGTGTGGAGTTGAGATATAATCAAATGGTTTGCTGTGACACAGGGGTCCAGACAAAGTCACCCAGGACCCGATGCGCAGCTTTGTACTGAAGCAACAGGGGGTAAAGCACAGTGGAGGTGTAGCCGGTGCTGAAATCCCTCTTGCCTTGGCAGCATAGGGACACACACTCTAACCTATCTATAACTTATTTGTCATATTTGGTAGCGGCGCGCAAAGGACAGGCGCGGGCGATACCTTTACGCGCGGTTGGAGCTGTGTGAATTTCTCAAGGGCTTGATGCAAGAGAAGAGGGCGGTCAAAGTGTAGGGGGAATCAGCGCGCCTTGCTCTAGCGACACTTTCACTCTCAGCTCAGCGCCTGTTAGACAGCGTCTCCCACGTGTCATTTATTGTCGGTCCGGGGCAGAGGACACGCATGCTTGACAAGACCTCCGCGCACTTGATGCCCGCTTTGGTGATGCCATGCCCCGGAACCACAGCGGAGACGAAGCCAGTACCGGGCTCTGGATGAGGACATCGCCGGGGCACCGTACCGAAGGCTACGGCTTGAAAGATGTGGAATCCGGACGACGGATGATGAATAACGCGAGAGACGGTTTGCTGTCAACCTCCACCGCCGCAGGTACTGCCGGGTCCGAGAGAATGAGAGGGAAGCAGGGCGCCAGGCTCAGCTTGCTGGGGAAGCCGCTAATATACAGCGCGCAGAGCGGCCGGAGAAACGTGCGCTACAGGCGGCTGCAAAACTATCTGTACAATGTGCTGGAGCGACCGAGGGCCTGGGCGTTCATCTACCATGCGTTCGTGTAAGTTTATTTTCATTATTTGTGTGTTGGCTAATCTGTTGTGCAGGTCGGAAGTTGCACACCTGTTGATGCTGTCACACCCTCACTGCAGCAACGCGTTTCAGACACATTACGCCAGAATAAAACATGAACCGACTGCGCTACCTGTTACTGGAATGTTGCATATATTCACACATCACTTTGTCACTTTCTGTGTATGATGTCTGACATGGTGACACAGTAAAACAGTGGGTGTCATAAATGTACAGCTCATCTATAAAAATACACTACAGCATGAGTAACCTTTTACTAGAGCCAGTTTCACAGCTTACAGAGAACCCCCCCCCGCTCTTTGAATTTACCAACTGACAGGTTTGTGATACAAACCATAACCCTACCACGATGTCTTTTGATATCTGTCCAGAAGTCTTTGTTATGCTAAGTGGAGCTCAGACTGAAGGATTAAGACACTCTGGGTTTAGTCCAAAAACAGTTGACATGAATGCATAACGGCAAACATTAAAAAAACTGAGGGTTTTCATCAACTTCTGCATTTATGAGGGCCTCAGTGCTAAAGCAGGGTTCACATTTCTACTGTTCAAAAAGAGATATCAGCGTCTGTTGGCTGCCGAAGGTCAAGAAGCAGGAACATCTTTAGCCATTCTGTCTGCTTTCCATCATTCTCGGCTTCCCAAGCAGCTGCATTTGATTTCCCGTGTGCAACTGTTGTTAAAGCATCATGACTGTTTCTGAGAGGAAGGAAGTTGAGGCACACACTGAAGAGCACCATCTTTTTTTGGTGTGTGGGTGTGTGTCTATGCACTAGTAGAGGGGTTGGAAAGAGAGTAGGGTTGTGGTGTGCTGCATGCTTGAGCTATTGCGCTTAATCCAAGCAGCTCTTGAAACTGATCTTTTTTTTTTTACTTTAAAATGTCCTTGAAGTGGCTATACCAAATTGTGCACAGGACGAAACACAGGCTCTCTGTCGGAGTTCATGTGCCCATATGTTATGCGAGCCATGGTCAGTGATGGTGAAGACACTATTGAAACTGGATTAGTTTTTGGGAAATTGCAGTATTTAGGCTAACTGTTATCACGCTTTCTAACTGTCCTCCTTTTTACAGGAAATTTCACCACCGGAAAGAGAAAATCATTGCAAAACAGGCAGTAGTGGAAGCTATGGGTGTGTGGTAGAGATGGTCTCATGTCATCAAGACGGTTATATGATTACAGTGTGAGAATTAAAATACTTGACTACTGACAATGAGACACCATCGGCTATCGATTAAATTTGATTTTAATTATACTGAACATCGGCATGTGGATGATGTGAGACATCCATGTTTGTTTGGTTTTTGAGGTATTAGTAAGGGCCAAGGCTGACATAATCGACTTTTCCATCTGTAATACTGAATCGGATGTTGACATGAACATTGTTTACAAGTCAGAATCTTGTGACTGTCTGGATTGTACATCGTTTTTATTTAGCAGAGTTACTTAAAAGCTGTGCAGTAGCCAGCTTGCTAAAAGTCATGTACAGTAGCAAGATTAATCCCTACGATTAATAGGATAATAAATTAACTCAGTTTATTTGACACTCTTGTCCCACATCTGTCTGAAAGCCAGGTCCTGTCTGTGAAGCACTTTATACTTAAAACTGGATAGACTCAGCTTTACCCACCTTTACCTACAGTAGTCCCTGCTAGTAAATCTACCGATTGCATTGATTTCAACTGATTTTCATAGTTTTAAGTCCAGCAAGTCTTTAAAGTGGCATAATACCAGTCCTACGGAGGAAAATGATAACAGCTTTGAACCTGGTTTATCAGACTCCACCCAGCTGTTGCTGAGTAGGGTAGATCTCCATCCATCTGTGGGCTGTGGCCTCCTTCAGTGCCTGTATCACACAACAGGGTGTACTCGGTGACAGCACTCAGTTTACACTGACAATGAATGGACAGCTGTCACTAACCCAGGGTTTTGTCTCCTTATTTGCTCGGAGTGCTCAGCAGCACAGCTTTTGGCCACAAGGGGGGCTCACATACAGCCAGCAGCCATTGCAGCACTCACAATGATGAGTAATCATTAAAAATCTTCCTGTAAATTATGACACGGATCAACACAAAAATGTAATCAATTGTTCTGTGGCCCATACCCTACCTCTCCAACAAATTTCATTCAAATACATTCATGATTTTTGAGTTATGCTGTGAACAAACAAACCAACAAATGCTGGCAAGAACGTCCACCCCCCCCCGACCCTAGGCAAAGGTAATAATATCATCCACTTCTTACCAACAGTATTTAATAAATCAGTTAATCACAGTCTTATTGCTGTGGTTAAATTCTTCATGTGGTGGAAATGCATCTGTGTTATTTCATCCTCCTGAGTTTGAGAGTGTGTGCTAATTTGACCGAGTTATTACTGCTGGAACGCTGTTTTGTATAACTCGCATAAGTTCAGAGGTCTGGTCAGAGGAGCAAATGTTCTTACAAGCCTGCCCTCACTACATCCAGTTATCCTCTGTTTGACATGTCTACAAAGCACATCCTCATTGGCTCTGAAACCTAAAGTGATATTTCACTTTAAACTCCGTTCTACTGTAACATGCGTACCTCCATGTGAAATTTCTTCTTGAAATTTGCAGTATGAACAAATGGCAGCATCACAGTCGGCTTCATCGTGTGTATAACTAATGCAAGATTTTTAAAATAAAAGCCACTATTAAAGGCACTGCAGATGCAGACACTAGGGTGGATGGGGGGGGTAAAGACGTAACTTTCATGCTGAGAGCTAAATAAATGAGCTTGCTCATACTGCCTGTGCCGTGTAACTGCTTTGCTTTGGCCTTTCTCTTCATACTGTATGGTCGGTGCATTCATGTGTAATTTTATTCATCCCCTATGTGTGACAGCAGCAGCAGCACTGAGCCAGTCTTTGTGCTGAGTCGAGTTGTGCGTGGGGTCCCCCTGCCCTCCTCCCTGCTTGCGTGCACACGCTCTCACAGCACTGCCATTCATCTTACTTCAGGATTAACAAGCTTTTATCCTTGCAAATATGTTCAGGGGCAGGGAAGTGTGGAGGAGAAGGATCCAGTATTCCTCCAGGTCAGGTTTCATAGCTGGCATGCTGAATGATCAGGAGCATGGAGATGGGAACTCACTGCTCTTGTTAAATATCTATCAGTTGGCTTATGGTTTGGAATAGTTAGATTAATAGGCCAGTAAAGGATGTGGTGTTTGGCCATTTGAAGCCAGCAGCAGACATCTCAATGACTAATAATGTGCTGCTGTAAATCCCAGCGCTGTTATGTATTACATATTATATTGGATTCTGTATCAGCCACTATGTTTGTCCTGTAAACCCCCCTGCTCATTATATCTTGGATAGGTTTATGCCTTCTGGTTTGAAATATATCCCATGTACCTTTTTAGGATCCGCTCAGAAACCCTCACACATGCTGGCATTTATATCCATTATTTCCCCAATAAATCTAGAGTATATTTTCTTTTGTGGCACAGGGGGCATTTTGTGTCAGCCTACAACAAATCTCTCTGGCACCTTTTGAGGTAGTGTAAGCCTGTGTTAGAAAACCCAGCGTTACTCATTTCATCTCAGATCAGTTTAGCGACATATGAAGAATAGCCCCCTGGTCAGGAGGGGATCTACATACTGTATATGCACAAGTAGAAATTGGTCAGTTTAATCCTGTGGGCGGAATTGAGTGTATACAGGGTTTAACTTTAAAATATGACAAACACTGGGCTTTTTTGATACCAGTCAGAGCACAGACACAGCTGATGGGGATGGCCTGCTGTAAGGATCATGTTTCAGTCCTGTGTTTACTGACAGGGAGTTCCCCTTGTTCTGTTTTCAGACATGACCTTTCTGTAAACACAAAGACAAAGCCTTGGTACAGGGCATGCATGTACACATGTATTGTGAGGATTGTACTTCAGCTAAGAGAATTATCATTTACCTAAACAGCACCTGTTTTCTGTGATTGGCCTTGCTTTTACGACTACCATGGCAGGCAGGTAAGGAGATTAGCCCCTTGCATTAAAACGAGGCTCATTTTTTTTGTTCTTTCCCCCCATTTCTTCTGATTTGAAATGCCCAGTAAGCTAGCGGAAACTGTGCACTAAAATTAGGTCTGCACACTGCATATAGCATGGATGTATATGGACTGCTCTGCAAGTGGATAAAGTTAATGCTAGTTCTTTAACTCTGACGCTGAATGTTTGCCCCCTCTGTCCAGGGGAATACTGAAAAACACACGTGAGAAAGCTGGTCAGTCCAACCTTGTCTTATTAGCATTCCAGTTGATTAATTTCAAATATTTACTGTCTTCAACTAGTGCTGCTTAAAAAGCATGAGAGGGTCAGCAAAAGCTGAAGAGAGAGATGTAGGAGGAGGGCAGCAGCCGACATGCTGCTACTGTGGGATAGCTGGTGCAGAAGGGACAGGTCAGGTGAACAGTACAGATGTACTATTTAATATATTTAATTAAAATAAATGAAAGCTACTACTTACTTTATTTTTAAATTGCTGTTTAATTTATATCATGCTGTCTTCCCCTGAATATTTTTTATTCCAAATGATGTGTATATTGAGTATTTTTAAAGCAGCAGAGGGAAAACTTTTTAAATATATATATATATATATATATACACACTTTATAATAACATGCACTTAATTGGTTGGGTATTCATGTGCATTTTATTCAATAAAAGCAGGTTTAAAATCAATTTTTTTCATCACTCAGTGGGCATAGGCTATTGTTTGGGTTTTATGTTAGCAGTTTGTCTATTAAAGCAGAAAAATACAGGAACTGTAGCTAAAATACACACAAATATTTATCACAAGTCATATCGCAATATTGAACAGCGTTATCACACAGTGCATATTTTCCTCATATCATGCTCTACAGTCTTCATTGCCTCTACCCACTTATCCTTTCTTCACCTTTCTCTCCTGTGGCCTGTGCAGACAGTGCTGCTGTTCATATTTCCATCATCAC